ATTTGGTGCTGGGGATAAATCATGGATTGTCTGGTATGATGCTGACCAAACTGGCGAGCTAACCAATAAGCAGATCCTGAAATACTACACCTTCTATTAAAGATAACTCTTCTAATTGGTTGAAGACATCCAGCCATAGAATCTTCACTCTTGACTGACCTGCTCCAGAAAGAATTGGATTATTATTTTTTTTTCCCCCCCCTTTCTTCACCAGCATGAACTCTTAAGTTCCTTGGATTAAGGAACCACTCTCGATTTCATCAACTGTTGATAACCTGTATATATTGTAAATATTAATACAATTCACCAATTTTGCACCATTTGATTGTCTCTTGTGTTTTACAATTTGTCACTTCCTCTAGCAGTCGAACCTAATTTATGAATTATTTGAATTTACTCGAACTTGGATTATTTATCTAATAATCCTAACATTTCTAAAATTTAATATAGGTTATCAGTAATTGGATATAGTAAATAGGTAATAGTAAAAGTAACTATGGAGTAACTTTTGATGACGCAAAAAGTACCGTAATGTGGATCTGGATGACTTTCTTATTACCGTATATGGACTTTTATTACAGCTTGGAGTTCAATTATAAAAAAGTATAAGATGTTCAATATTAATGAACTAAATAACTAAAATGATTAAATATATTAAAACAAAGCCTACATTTCTATGCCATCAGAATTGCAAAATATTTATGCAGATATGAATTTTTTTTGTTTAGATGGGTTACCTGTGTGCAAAACCTCAGTGACTGGATATGTAAAGCTGGTCTGGAGATCTCCCATATACAGTAATGTTAAAGGTGCAACTCTTTCACTGTCCAGTAAAAGTTGAATTACTAAAATTCCTTGATGTACAAAACGTTTTACTTAAAGAACCTTGACATTTTTTAAATAGAAAAAATGATGGGCGCCAAAATACGTATAGACATGTGGGGTGGTGTTATTTCTGATGCTGCACTCATATTGTTTATGTAAGTGATTAAGAGTAAGATGCATTTCTACTAAATCACTGGAAAGCTTATTGATGTTCCCATGAAGACAGGATATTAGTTTATGAAAAGTAAAGTTAAGTAAGAATACTTAACTCTAAACAATTTGGATTTAGACCAAGGTATTCCACTGAAATGGCTGTGTGCCATTTTACGGAATACATAAAAAGTAGTTTGGATGAAGGAAAATGTGTTGGGGCAGTATTTCTAGATTTTACAAAAGCGTTCGATACTGTAAATCACACAGTTCTGCTAAGGAAACTGGAACAACTACATGTTTCTAAACAAACCTTAAGCTGGTTCAAATTTTATTTTGAGCAACGACATCAGTGCGTCAAAATTAATGGCATCAAATCTGGGATCCAAAAATGTAATGTGGGTGTACCACAAGGGTCTATTTTGGGCCCATTACTTTTCTGTTTGTACATAAATGATATCCCAAACATCTGCAAAGATGCCATCTGTCAAATGTATGCAGATGATACAATAATTTATGTGGCAGCAGACACACCTGAAAAGGCCTCTGATCTGTTAAACAGAGAGTTGTGCATCTTATCAGAGTGGCTCCAAAATAACTGCTTAACTCTGAATTACACCAAGACTGTCTCCATGTGTTTCTCCCTTAAGAAAATTATAAACAATGATCTCAAAATAATTATTAATCAACATGAAATAAAGCCGGCTGGTGAATTTAAGTATCTGGGTGTAGTTTTAGATTCAAAATTGAAATTTGATGCCCATATTAAGAAAATGACAAAAACTATAAAGACAAATATAAACTGTTTTCGAATGATTCGACCATGTGTATCAAATCAAGCTGCACAAGTATATTTGCATGCAATGATTTTATCCCATATGTCTTATTGCGCCATCGTTTGGGCCCAGGCCACAAAGTCTGTTTTAAAACTTTTACTCTCACTTCACAAGCAAGCATTAAAAATATTCGATCAAAAACTGGTGAAGTGGCATCACTGCAAAATTATTAAAAAACACAATATGATGACATTTGAAAATTTTATAAATTTCTCATTTTTAAAAACTATTTTTAAATGCCTTAATGGTCTTGCCCCTGAGGTAATCTGTAAATTAGTTTTAAAGTATGCAAATGAAGGAATCAGGACAAGAGCTGGAGCTATGGGGAACTGCAGGATTAAAAGATGTCGGACATCTATGGGTCAGTCCGCCTTCTCAGTGAAAGCATCACATCTCTGGAACTCTTTGCCTCTGGAGCTTAAGTCACAGACTGATATTCGACTTTTCTCCACAAGATTGAAAAAATGGCTCAAAGACAATCAAGAGTGTGAGCACTAAACTGGCGTGTACTGTACATTTTTGTTTTAACTTCTCTTGTTTTTTTTGTTTTTTTTGTGTTTTTATGCATTTGTGTGTCATTATTAACCTCCCTCCCCCTCAATGCTAACACCTTTTAAAAGCCTAACCAGGGACAAAGGCTGCAAATTAGCCCATGGCTACAAGCCTTATGTACTTGGACATCGGCCACCTGTTTGGTTGCAATGTTTAATTGTACTGTCCCTGTCAAATAAACAAATAAATAAAAAATAAATAAAAACATTACTAATGTACCTATAATTGAGCTACTTGCTTACTGTCTCTGATCATCATCATAGTGATATAAGTAATATAATAGTAATATAACCAAATGACTTTATGACCCTTAACATTTCAGTCTCCCCTGAAGTGGTGTGGTTTACAACACTGATGTGCTTCCGGGCTGAGCAGAAAGTAGCAGGTTTTTTTAATAACAAAATATTTGCATCCATGCGAATAATGGTTTAATAATTTAGGCTCATGGTAAATCATCTGTAACTGAGATGGCCTAAAACTGTAGATACATACAAAATCATGAGGTTTTAATTGAAATATTTGTGGATTGTGGGCCACAGTAGTCCCTTGTCCTCAGTAGTGGAATTTTTAAATAGCTTTACATCACTATAATTAACACATAGGGTGATAGAAATGTGTGTGCAACACCTTGAAATATACTCAAAAGGTCACATTACACAGGAAGTTAAATATCTTTACCCTTGTTTGACTGTGATGGCTTTGACATAAAATCCTGAGACATAGATCAGTTACAAAAAAATTTAAAAGAAGACATTTTATTTTTATTTCTCATCAAGTCAATGCAGCTTTTTGTGACAATGCAAATAAAATCTCTCAAGTAATATCTGTTAGCAGAAAGAGCTGAAAGCATCTATGGTTGATGTCTACACAAGAGAAAATTAAAACCATTTAACCAACTAATGATTCAGGTCAAATATCGCTTAACATATTTTTCATTGTTCTATTACACAATGCAATACAGAAATTTAAAGAGCTCCACAATCAACGATCTCTAATGATAAACATTTTCTCTTTAAAGCCATTACTAGTTACATGTATATAATATCCTCCTCACAAAGGAAAGGTAGCTTGTTTCCACAATCTTCATCACTCCATTTGAAAGTATCAGCATTAATTACACCACAATGTTTGGATGAAGGCATCACTGGCTGCAGACCATTTCCCCAGTTGGAATAGCTCACTATTCGGTCACTCCAAATCCAGAATCCAAAGATTGAACTCTGCCTGAGACCGATCCACAAACGCTCTATGGAATCAGTATAAGTGTTGCTTAACCACTGCTCAACAGCAGTTTGATCCTCCTGATCTTCAATCCATAACAGGCGTGAATGCCTTGCTTTACAGTAATCAAGGGCTTCCTCCCATGTTTTGGGTTCCTCGATCACTTTGATTCTAACATTGCCTGAAAATAAACAGAGGCGAGATTTAATGAAAAAAAAATGTAAATGGTATAACCTTTACTAAATGTACAATTGTGTTTGATCGAGTCATGGATTAAATTTAGTTTGCTTTAAAATACTGATTTTTTTGTAGTTTTCAGTTTATCACATCCGAGTTGATCTTAAAGCCAAAATTGTCTTTGTCAAAACTCCCATAACAGAAACAGTTGAATAGTTTCTTATTTTTTCTCTTTATGATGTCTTCTTGAAATATTACCATTTACCAAATGAATGAAGGCTCAAACGACTGAACAAAATACAACTTTTAGGATGATATTACCAAATGCTGCAGTCTGCCTAATTTTTTAGTAAATGTTCACCACAAACCTGTGTAGCAAATGATTTTCGCATCACTGTGACAATTTATTGTCATCCATTTCATATTGTTGATTTCTTTTCCATTTATTACAAGACATTCCTCAGGATCCTGAATTTCCTCAAGGTCATTAAATTTAATATTCTCTCTATAAGTTGAACAACTTTTGTCTGTCTGTTTCCACTCATCTTGCTGAAGTCCGATCCAAAAGCTTTTTCCCAGACTCTTATTTTTCAGGTCTTCATTTTCCTGTTCATCACTGATACTTGCTAAATCGGTGAAATATTTTCTGCAGTACTGCAATGCACGGCACCAGTTTTCCCCATGTTCTAGTTCTACAAGGGTGTAATTGTTATCTGGGAAAAAAAAGGAACATATTTAAAAAGATAAATAATACATTTACACTTCAAAATTTAGAAATGCATTTACACAACAGTGAGATATTTAGTAATTCAAAGAATCATACTAGTATTATGTTTAATTTCTATACACTTCTTTTTAAACGACTGTGATGCAGCTAGTTTTTTTTTCTTTTTTTAAGGGAATTATCACCAATTGAAACTTACCACGTTGGCACATAAAGGCCTTTTCTTCCGAACAATTAAAACTCTTCCATGTCCCATTTTCAATAGCTTCGCAGAGTTGCTCTTCTCCCTTTAAGTCTGTTGTTGAGTCATTAAATATGACTTTTTCTCCATTTGACCATGTGGGGACATAGCTACCATTCCTTCTCAATCCAAGCCAAACTTTCTCATACCATTTTATATTCAAAGACTCACTAAAGTTTCTTATCATATTGCCATCTTCTTCATCATATAGGCTCAATAATGACCCCCCTTTGCCCAAGCATATGTTCCTTGCTTCATCCCAGGGTTTCGACATATTAACCTCTGATGAAATAAACCATCGCAGACGGTTTGCAGCTACTGAAACCTGTAGAAGTCCTGTAAAAAAGAATATAAAATAGCATCAACTCTCCAAACATTTAAAGGGACATATTAAATAGAAAGCAATCAAATACATGTTATGCACTGCATTTAATCACATCATAGTAAATAAAAAAAAGTATCCACCCCCTTGTTTATGCACATTTTGCAAAATTAAGATGTTTAAAGGAACAAAATAAAAATAATGCTGGTAAAATGTAGGATTAATTCAAAGAACCAATGCAACAAAAACTGTGCAAACTAGGTTCATATTTTTACGTTAAGACAGTTGGATGATCTCAAAGAAAATATATTTACCTGAACACAGCACGAGGAAGAAAGCCGTTACAAAGGTATACATTTTAAGAGTGATCAAAACAAATCTAAAGACAAAGGAAATAAACTTATTAATAAACAAAGCTTAATTCTTCAGTTAATTGTCCATTTCTATCCACATAACACATAAACAACAGATTCAGTGATTAGAAACTTGCATAAATCTTGTTGTGAATCCAAATAAATTTAGTTCTTACTTGCTGATGCATCAGGTGCAGAATGGTCCTTCCACGCAAGGAAAAGAAGTTATATTCTTCATAGAGCACCGTAAACTCAGTTTACTTATTCAAAATGAGAACGTCATGAGATTAATCAGCTACAAGATGGTAAAGTACGACAGAGCCATAGTCAAATTAGGATTTAACAGCCGTATCTCACTAGGCGAATGTCTCATAGTTAATGAAACACATCGGAAAGATATAGTGGAAAAACAAAAAAATATAAAAATCAACAGCAGTAACTGGACGGTTTAAGTTTGGCTTTGTCCTGAAGTTATGGAAGGTTATGGAAGGTTTTCAGAGTACAGACATACCAGTATAAAAAGCTTTTTTTTTTCTTTTTTCAAACTTTAACTTCAACTTGAAAAAGCCCAAGGGTTCTTTTTAATATAACATGTAAAGTGCATATGCCTAAGATTCTAAGAATTCAGCAGACTAACTATACTTCTACAGTAGAATACAACTGGCAACATTCTGAAGGGAACATTTGTATGATTTGTATGTTTATGAAGGAGATAAAAGGGAACTGAAAGCTGAATGCTCCTTATGATGTGGCCAGTTTACCATTTTTAAATCTAAACTTTGACATATAACAACTTAGTTCAGGTCTCAGTGGGTTAGTTCCTTTTTTCCCTCAGGGACTAAATCCAGTTCCATCATTAAACCAATAACTGTGTGTTTCTGTGCATTTTGTTCACCAAGTAATCAATAAAGATTGTGTCCGTTATGCCAGGATGCAAAATAAAGATGTTATTTTATATTAACTGTATTCTGCATTTAAAGGTCAGGGCTGTCGATGAACCTTTCAATCAGAAATCAACCTTTCAGGAAGTCTACTGATAATGCTAGACAGAAACTGGAAAGTTAACTACATTCTACTCCCAACCTTTTTCCAAATCTTTTTGGCTATTTTTGAAAATGTTGTGCTACCATCATAAAACTTGTATGATGGATAAATGCAAAATCTGAACAATTGTCATATTCTAAGGAGCTATTCCTTATTTATTTATTCTTTTAAACCGCTTTACAAGAGTGGTTTATATGAAGAGTGAAGTCTTGGACAACGGTTTCAGGAATATTGATTCTTGGTGTCACTCTCATCACATTTAATATTTTCATTTAGAAAAACCAGAACTTGTTTTGATAGAAATAATGGTTAATCTATCTAGCACTTAATTCTAACAATGAAAAGGCAGTGAGGTTTACTTTACAACCCTCCTTTTTTCCGTAATAAATTTGCTTATAGTAAAGTCATATGGCCCCTATTTACAAAAGAGTGTCTTCATTCAAAATTGGTTAAATTTACTGTCTGCACACTTTGAAGTAGATATTATACAAACAAATGTTGATCCAACAATGCAACTACACCATCTTAACATCTCAATTTTTTATTTCTTCTTTTAGCCAACCTACACTGCATTTCCTGGAATCCGTATTTGCATCGATAGCATTTGCAAATACCTGATAAAAGCTCATGGATAATTATAAAAAGCAGAACTGGATTTCTGTAGAAGACTTGCCTAAATCAACATCCTTACATATACTCTGATAACACTATATTAGAATGCAAAAACTATTGTCAGGTATGAAAAAACCCTTATGGTAATAACTTACAGTTGATTACAAAATAATTTCAGTTTGGGCATTAGATGACCTTTAAAAAAACAAACAAACATTCAAAACCAAAATGTCTACTTTCCATCACTTGCAAAAAAAAAAAAAAAAGAAAAATTCAGTTAAATAAACCATTATAAAAAGAAGGTAATAGCTCTGGCCGAGTTACGTAATGGAAGCTCTACTTGTTATTTAAAAGCAATCATCTGAACTTGTATATTAGGCCCATGCTTCAGCTATGGATGGAATCAACAAGAGAATAACAATTGAATTTAAGTTAATCTCTTGTAAATATTTAGCGTCTTTCTCTCTGAGGAATTATAAAGATTATTCATATAGGAACATTTTTGTTTTGCACTTAGTCACTGAATGTATCTCTAAGTATATCCATCCATCTGTGTACCTGGTTAATGAGTAGCTACCCACAGTCCATGTTTTTGATGGCTGTAAAATATCAGTACTTCTAGGCAAATAGCTGTGTTTGGATATGCAAAGTAGGAGGGGACCGGCCCAAAAATGAGTTACAGTTGAAATTCTTCCTTATTTTTTGAGGGCCTGTAAGAGTTCTTAAATCATTTGCTGCTAAAAAAGTCAGACATAATCGTAGTGTACAGTGCTTGATACTTTCAGCCTCTTCTAAAAATACAATCATGTAGAAAATATTGTTTTATCTTGAGGAAAGAGAGGCTCCAAATGTTGCTAGCCATAAAACAGAGTTACACTTCTAATTTTAAAAGCATGATTAGTTTTGAGTTACTCACAATGTCTTTGAGATTTTGTCCAGTATATATGTTACAGGTAATCGCATGAAGAGTATTTTATACAGTCATTTTCAATATATTAGTGTATTTAAGGCAATAAATACACAATATAACTTAACTATCAATTAACAGAGGCACAAAATACGGGTTTTACTTATTTAAGGTAGTAGTTAACCAAATAAAACTTCTCAATCATTTTTTAATTTATTGAGGAAAGAAAGGTTTACCTCAGTGAGAAGCTTATAAAATGAATACCCAGTGTATTACTTAACAAGATTTGAATTTTAAGGTGCAGGAAAGATAATGAGATAAAGTATTACTTATCTAACTTTATTTAGACAGTATGTGCCTCAGGGTTCTCTTGCAATGATTGTAGGATATTTTATATTTTCTGAACTAATAACACACAACTACAGTATACAAAAAATGTAATGAGCTACAAGTTCAGTTGTAGTAAATCAGCACTGCAGATAATTCTGTTTGTTAGTTTTTTTCACGAGGTGAAATGGACTCCTGGACAGGTTCAAACTGAAAATAAAAATGACTTTTATGAGGATTATTTCCTTTTCAGATCAGAAACTCTATTATAACTTGTATTTTAAGTTATCTTCCTTAGATTCCAGTAATTAATGAAGTTTTTATTCAGCCTTAGAGTCTCCTATGTATGATATCTTGTTCACTTAAAGAGTGCAATATGTGTAAGAATTGCTTCAGTCCAGAAAGTGGCACTTTTGTCTGCTGCCAAACTGCGTATGTGTAGGCGTGAGGCCACAGTGACCCTGAGTATTGATGGAATTATGAGGAAAGCTGTTAGATAAAGGGGCATGTCAGCTTGGTTCAACAACAGGTGAAGCCATTTTATCCATAAAAGTGCAGTTAGACATTTGACCAATCCGGTGGCTTGTTTCTTTTAAAGGTCTGTCTGTTTGTGTGTGTGTGTGTGTGTGTGTGGGTGTGTATGTTGTTGTGTTTATATGTTTCTAGGAAGTAGCTGTGAGCTCCTGATTGCAAGCAAGTATTTTCTGACACTAGAACAGGAAGCAATTTCTGTGCAGGTTGAGTACTTGAAGACTAAACCCCGCTGAGGCTTAAGAAACATGTTTGTGATATTTAAACAAAAATAAATTTGCTTTTTGGCAAAGCCCACAGGAAGCATGGCTTTAGATAAAACAGTATACACCAGCATTTAATCTTTGGAGCCTTTTAAATACCACAAAAGATCTTTCTACACCCAATAAGGTTTCAGCTTTGCACCTCAGACACATCTGACTTACTGAACAGCAAATAACTATGGACCTATAGGCAGATAGAACATTGACTCTCAGCTGAAATCAGGCTTCCATTTTAAACCTCTGGAAAATTATGCACAGTGTTTACAAAAAGCTTCATTTTGAAATTTACTTTAGAAAATACTTCAGGAGTTATTGTAGTTAGTGCTATAAAGAGCATAGCACATTTAGAGTTGGCTAAATGTCATAATTTGCTTTGTGTTCGGCTTAGAGGTGTGGTGGTTTTCCCCAGGTGCTCCAATTTCATATGCCTGTCTAAAAGCTTGAATGTTGAGTTAATTAGTAACTCTTTAGTTGACTGTAATGAGCCCATAGTTATGTGCTTTATTTCTTATTGTGTAAAAAAATGTTAGACTTCTTCTCCATATCAAATTTTTATCATTTTCAGTGTTTTGCAGTATACCATATCATAGTCAACTAAATTCTTTTGTTGACTATAACAATACATTAATTCAGTGTAAAAACATTCCGGGTGGGTCTTGTGGTTTGGCAAAAAAAAGTTAAAACGATGAGATATCTTTCAGTAAATCTCAGCACAAAGTAAATTATGTATATAAAAAAATATTTTCTTTATATGCATTAAATTTATATTCTTCACAGTTCTAGGAATTGGTGGAGGTTGTCAAATTGAAAGTTGTCAATTAAGAGTTCACATCCTCCAGAAGCTGGCTATTCTGCATACGGTAATTGCTAAAGAAGCTGGAAGTTTAGGTATGTTTAAGCATTCTCTTGCAAAGTTTAGTGGTAGGAAAAGAGTGTGCTAGATAAATATGCACAAACAATCAGGATAATGGCAGTCTTGAGAGGATTTTGATGCAAAGGCTATTTAGGTGTTAGGGGGGGATTCATGAGGCATGGACTACCGCTGGAGTCAGCGCTACAAGAGCCACAACAGAACACTTATGCTAAGGAGAAAAAGCACTGAACTGTTGCTTAGTGATTTCAAGTCCCCTTTTAGATGAAAATACATTTTACATTTAATTCGAAAACCGGGTTCCCAGGGTATTGAGGGAGAATACAGAGGTACAACATTCAAGATGCTTGAGGCACTTTATGACTCCATCTGGTGACAGGTTTTATGGAGATGCTCATCTAATTTTTAAATGGGAGCTGGCATCTATCCACTCTGCCAAAAGCACATATACCTGCTTTAATAACCACGGCATTACTGTGTTCAACTTGGCAGGAAACTATCATGACCTGAGCCCCATAGAGAATCTATGAAGTGTTGTGAAGAGAACAATGAGACACATCAGACTCAGCGATGCCTAAAAGCTGAACGCCACCATTACAGAAAACTGGGCTTTCCACCTAAGCACAACTACAGGCTTATCCTTTTCAAGCAGCACT